TTAAGTGAATGAGAAATACTGAATCGTCTGGTAAAATATGTTTCTTTTTTGTTTTGTTTCCTTAATTTCTTTTATACATCGTTCTAACTTTATTATAGTATTTGATAGAACATGTGGCAAACGATAAGATAATCTTCAAATGTGTAAATTTTGTGCATTCTGATTATATATGTGACTTCATTTTCTTTACTTATAGATTTACTTATCAATTACAAGGCTATGGACTTTGTTCCTGCTAAAGCAGGTAGATTTGTATTTTTACTCTTTTGAACGTTTCATGTACTGAAATTGTGTTTTCATCATTTTACTTACTAATTATGCTTATCAGAAGAATAATTTTTATAAAATTTTTAAAATGCCTTACACTAACATCCTTCAGAGATGAGCAACAAGCTCCAGTCAACTAAATGCTTTTGATCCCTACATAGATGCGCCACAGAGCACCTCATTGTCAAAGTTTACTATTCTACGGACGGCGGCACGGAACCTCCGTCGCTAGTAATCTCTGAGTTCTAGCCGACATGTGTACAAGTACTTCCATATTATTGAATACAACTTACCGAATCTTCAAGCATTTAAAAGCAAGTATCATATATTGGTAAAGGCCGTAATGGTCGATTGCCTCTTACTAAGTGATAAGACATAGTTATAATATGAACGAAATATTAAGTGAACCTAGCGCTAGAGTGTCGCTATGTTAAACAAATATAGTGAATTTTAAAGAGTGCATTTATTCTACTGTGGTTTATCCGCTGTCGACGAAGTAGATTTAATTCAATCCAATAGGTATAAATGAAATGCAAGAAAAGTGAGTATAATTTAATACTCCGTACAAGGAAGTCATGTGGTGTACACATCAGATTTTTTTTTCTAACGATAATGCGGCAGCCATCGATTGAGCTTATTTAGCTTTCAGGTTAAAAGCCCTATTATCGTAACTATCTCATAACTTATATCTTAATAATATCCGCCATGTTATTTATTTAGATACGCTCGTGTCATATCTGCTGAAATTGGCCTTGGGATGCGAACTAAATAAGTATTTGCAAAGATGGGAACTTATTGGCCAGTTAATAATTAGAGATCTATCAGAGGAAGCCAAGATGCAGTATACTGACACAACTCAAAGAATTAATGATTTTTATGAAATTTCATCTCGCTCACTTTGTAAAGGATTTTCTCCTTCTTTACCGCATATCTTCATAGCTTAATTGGAAGCATGTCCGGCTGGCAAACGGAAGGGCCGAAAGTGGAATCCCAGTGAGCACACTGCTCCTTTTTCATGCTTTCGACTCCGAAATAAAATTAATGACTATATAAGTAGTGTTGGAGCTAAAATGTGGCGGACGATAATTCATTATCATTTAGATTTGGCGACTGGGCCTCCGTCTCCTCAATCGCCCTCTAAATGGAGGCAATGTTTCCCTTTCTTTGGCGGTTTCCTTCATTTTAGAATTGGAAACACGAACAGTTGGTAGCTGAAAGGTCCGGTAATAATTGCACGTAAGTTTGCTATAATAAGTAAACTTTTGTATTCTTAAATATAAATTAAAAGTCTAGAATCAATTAGACTAGAAGCTTGCAAAATTAGAAACTTAACTAGGAAACTAGGAATAACCTTGTTAAAATCATCAGGTTTGACTTTAATATCTTAAATTTAAATAATACCTATTAAATTTTAAAAAATGTTATTAAAAATTTCTCTTGATCATGAAACTCGAATTTAAAGTATTTTGAAAAATTATCCGACGAACATGCTAAAATGAATGGCACCTTGTAAACACCAAAAATAGCTAAAATAATTTTAAGGATTCAAACATAAATAAACTAGAAATCACTATATTACTTAAAATGAAATTTAATAGGAATATGAAACAATATGCATTGTTATTAGTAGGATTTATTTTCTGCCCCATTTTGAAGACTGAATACAGAAATTCAGCTTCATTATTATAAATTTAATGTTATTACTAGATAGGAAAAACAAGTTTTCGTTAAAAAAAGAACAAGGATTCTTATAAAAAAGAAGTAATTTTAGGAATATTTGGATAATTCAAAAGCTCTGAAGAGATATCAGATATTTCTTGGAACACTCAAAACAGAATAATGCAGAATCACACTAAAATCTCCACCAGTATATAATTTTCAAAAAATTATCCATGTGTTAAATTTTATAAAAATGGGGAAGAATATAAAAACACAGTTATTATAATTCTAAGGCACAATCTATTCCCTTTTGGACAAGTATCCATTCACTGCCAGTTGTTTACTACGATAAAAGTCTATAATTTAATATGGTCGCACATTTGGCATGTAGTGCCAACTGAAATAGCCTTGAGCCTAGGCTCGAATCCCGAAGAACGCATATTTGTCTGTTAAGATACAGTATCTGTGAAGATGCAAACATTTAAAATACTGTCAAGTGGCATGATGGTAGATGAGCCAACTGCCATAACCTTAGTTGCGGGTTCTGATCTCGAAAAAGACATACATGTTTGTAAATGTATAGTGTCGACTTAAAATAATATTGAATCGAAGGTCTACTTCAACAGTTTGAGGTAGGGTGAGTAGTGACCCTCGGGCCTATTTCCCAAAGTATTCTTCATCAGAACTGGGAATTAGTACAATTTTGGAGTACAGAAAGTATGCAGTGTCTAATCCAACAACAAGCGCAACCTTTGTATCTTGGCCGCGATAAAATTCGGGGATCTGATTTGGCAGTAGATTTATTTCAACAATATTAGAAACAACAACAACAAAACTGAATGTTTCAGAAGATTTTATATAAAATTCAGAAAGAACATTTTTAATCTTGAATATTAATCTTCATCTACAGATGCGACACTACAAAGTTACATTTGTAATTTTCATTTCAAACAGAATAATGCAACGATGTATAAACATAATATGTTTCAAACAGAATAATACAACGATGTATAGGTAAGATAAACGTAAGATATTTGCGTGTTGTTGTTGTGTTGTGACTTATCTCACTTGTCTGACAGTAACATCAGAACAAGCTTACGAAATTTATCGTGGCAAGGCGATTAAAACTGTGCCTGTGGGCACTATACAAGTACGACTATTAAAACTGTGCCTTGAGCACTATACAAGTACAACTTTGCTCAGTTCCATCGCAATTTTCATGAAAAGCACCCCGGAGGGGACAGGTCCGAGAATATTCCACCCCCCTCTTTCCCTACCACCAACCTCTCGAGAGGACTTCGACTATGTATTTAAAGTGGCCCCATGTCGCAAAGGTACTATACATTTACCAACATCCATGCCTTCTCTGGGATTCGAATCCAGGCCCCTTAGTATCGCAGTAGGCTTCCCTAACCACTATACCACCTCGGCGGCTAGATATTTGGGTTTCAAATTTAATCAGAAAACTCAGCGATATACGAGAAGTGTGTAGCTAGTCGCAAAGAGCAATATATTTTACTTTAGAATTCAATCTCATTGTGGGAAAATGGCAGCATCTTTAAGCCAATTTTGAACACATATAGTCTTCCACTCGAACATGCGCACCTCGAAGTTCGATTTGTTTTTTATTTATTTGAAAATTTAGGCGAGTTTAATGAAAGCTTTTAAAATATTGACTATCTTAGGAGCGAAGCGAAGAAGGTCTTTAGCGTATCCCGACCTGCACTTAATTTAAATAGAATTAAACTTGAAAATAACAGTAACAAGAATAACTGGAAAATAATATGCAAAAGCATCGAACGTTCGTATAGAAACTGGCACTTAATTGGAATAAAGAACAACTCACGCAGTAAATAGACCACTGAGATCATACCACATACATTCAGACAAATTCTCTCTTCAACACGCAAAGGATATCGTATATCAACAAAATCACTCACAGAGAAATAAATGTCTGAAGCAGTACTCACCGAGAAAGAGTTCAATGTCCCATAACTAAGGTACTGAATATCTGAACTAATTAACTCACAGCTTCTAACTCTTTTGATATTTGTACGATTGTCCCAAAAAACTTTAAAAAAGCTTCAAGAAAAATCTCTTTTAGGGCTTCGAAAATGCATTTTCTGAAAATTTCTAAGATATCACCAAGTTGGCGACAAATCTTTAAATATAGCCACTTTTGGCGGAACAATTCTTATCAAGCCCGACAGGAACTCTAGGCCATATCTTTCGTTCTAACTGAGCTGTTTTCTAACAAATTCAGTATTTCAAGATCTGCAAGAAACCACGCGAAATAAACACTTTGGATCCCGGTAGGTGTCCAATAATTCGATTAAATCAAAAGGTGCAATTAAGTTATGGTATAACATTCATTACTTAATAAGTAAATAAATATAAAGATTAGATATAAAATATAATAAATATAAGAATTGGATATTAGATATAAAAGCTGGAGAGAAATTTCTGTTACTGCCTGTTTATCCAAAAACGAGGCTCAGCATGAACATACATGACCAGTCCCCACTGATTCATCTAATGAGAGCGAACTGTTTTAATTCATGGGGAAAGTAATATATATATATATATATATATAAGCGAAAAATTATCGAAACTTATTTATAGCTTGAAAACAGAGGTGAAAACTATGGCAGTGTCGAGCTAACACCTTTTACAAGTTGCCAGGTTTTCAACCAATGAATTCAACGATCAGTTCCACAGATAAAGCTGGTCTTATTATTTCGAGATTAAGGGAAAATATACAACTATAAAATACACCGAATGCAATCGTTTTATAGATATTTCATAATAGCCACTGATTAGTATTTTTGGTATATAAGTAGGCAAATTATCCTGCACATTTTGGCTTAAATATTACTTAATGCAGTGCATCTTGAGCAAATAAAATTCTGATGAACATAATTTACCATCAGTCTCTAAAGAATTTATATTCACGGAAGGAAAGTGTCTAATAGCAACCGTTGTTTACTGTGAGACTTAAAATGTTATAAATTTCAGGACAAAAATTTTAATGCGTGTTGTGTACCAAAGATATAAATACTTGTTTTCTTTTCCAGAAATAACAGACATGGAATGCTCCAAGTTGATGACGATACACCAGCCGTTGTCACTTCGAAACCAGAAACAAAGCATTTAAAAACAGATGGAGTTTTATGGATAGGTAAGATATATGTCTTATACATTAAACGAAATTATTTTCATACTGTGTCTACCAAATCACAATATATATATATATGATAAAAACAAAGAGAAAATGAAATTGTATAAATTGAATGTTTATTTCGTTTTAATGTTTTTAAGAGCTATGTAATGAATCAGGGAATATTAATTTTTTAATTCGTTTTCCATTTAGTCATACTAAAAATGCATGTATTATTTAATTATTTATAAACTAGATCTCAATCAATTTTTTTAATTCCGTAATTGTTAAGATCTAATTTTTAATTCGGGTTGTAATTTAAAAGAATGCGAGTGGTAACAGCGTGTCTCATTATTCTTTAAAAAATGTATTTTGTTTCTAGAAAAAACTTTGCAAAAAATCTCATTTTCATGTCAGTGTGTGCTCTAATTTTGAAATTATAAATATGATTGAAGCACATTATTAACAACATGTGCTTAATGTACAGTTTTGAGTTAAAGTAAAATTTTGAGCTAGTCTAAGCTGTGTAACTCATTCGGTTTACGTATCCGTTAACAGTTTTGAAATTTAAATTAACTCAAGTTTTGTGATAGATATTCTGTAGGAACTAATCTACAGCAAGACTGATATCTAGATTAGGCACATACTGTATACCACTTTGGGTGTACCTTCTGACTTTATGACATCGTAATACATAATTCTGCAAAAGATTCTTTTTTCTATAAAAAAAAAGGTTGTAGGATTCCTCCCTTTCATTCTATTAAACTAAGTGTTAAGGAACTTAGTGAACAGCTAAACGAACAATTACTCAAGTCCCAGAATAGAAACGTAAACTCAAGAAGGGTTAATTACTCTTTATTTCCTCCAAATAAGATATACAGTCGACGCCTTCCTCAGGGCGTACAGCAAAGCCTGCACTTAGGCTTAAACTCAAAATGTAAGAAATAAGAACGAACTAATAACTAGCTAAAGATATTTAGCCGAAGCTAACACAGTTCTAAACTAGTTGACCAGTAATATTAAATTAGCCAGAAAAGCTATGAAAAGGCACGTTATACGGCCGAGCGTAGTAACAGTAAGAGAGACGTAGTCAAAAGGTAAACGCGCGCTATTCAGGAATCCTAACTCTCTCTGGTGAAATCAGTGGAACTGGACTTAAATACTACTCTACTTCTCATTTGCATTTAACGCGCTTCAAAAACCTCATTCTGGTAAGGAATTGTAAGCTGAAGCTAGAAGAGATAGGAAAGTGGCATAAACTTAAAATAACTGTTATAAAATTTAAAATTTAAAAAAGTTGTATGCGACTTCTATATGACCACAAATCTGAAGTTTACAACTCCAGAACATTTAACTCCTTCCCGAAAATAATACTAAAAATTAAACTTATATTTTTACTCAGCATAATATGCACTTTTGGTGCATAAAACAATCTGTTGTCTAACCTCATGACTTCCTTGCATGGCCTATTAAAATTTACACTTCTTTTAAAATTGTTTCCTCGAATCCCTTGCAAGCATCTTTGCGATGTTTTGCTTCCTTGAAAGATGACTAAGTCGTACTTTTAAAACCAATATAAATACAAATATCGTATTTAACTGTGATTGGATAATTGCCTCATCTTCAAAATAGATTTGATGTGAATTACAATGAAATGAAATGATGTTTTACAACGGCCACGTCTGGAAGTTACTGGTTTTTGCATCTCTCTCTCTAACTGCACACACAAAATACTATATATATATATATATATATATATACATGTATATATGTGTTTGTTGTTTGATTCAGGTGATTACAATAAAACGGAGAGGTGAACAGTTAGTTGTTATAGCAGTTCCATATACAAGCTTTCCATGTTCTACGGCTAATCTTTTTTGAGTTGTGCGAGATACATATAGGCGTCATAAACGTATAGGCGCCATATATATACGCGTATAGGTATAGAATACGTATAGGCGTCATAAAAAAGTCGTCTTTGAATCTATTTCACAGTTCGCTTTTAAACAAGGTGTTCCGCTCTGTACGTAAGTACATATGACATGCACAACAATCGTCGGAATGGATTCCAGAGCGATCAAAATGAACATTTCTGTTGAAATATGATACCCGAAATTTTTCGCGATTCCAGTGCTTCCTTTACATTGTACAAGGAAGTAAAAATTAAATTATACAAACAACTTTACATGCAAATTTCGAGAAATGCATAGAGGAATAAATTTTGCAAGATGCATGTTGGTCACGTGATTTTAGCGCAAGATAAAATGGAAAGAAACGATAGATGAATCAACAGTCGTTACTTTCTGCTGCTTAAAGAATCCAGAATTTCGAGAAGTTCAACATTCCAGAAGACACGTTAAAACCTTAGTTGAGATGCGTGTGTGTGTGTGATTATGGCAAAGCCTCGAGGGCTATCAGCCTAAGGGGAGGGATGCCTTCGTAGAGGACTTTCTAAGGAAAACTGGCTCGTATACACGTTACACATGGGGAAAACCACAAAAACGCCCATGCAGCCAGCCCGTTCGCGGGATTTGAACCTTGGACCGAACTACCAGTGTTCAGCGACTTTACCGCTCGGCTGCTGGTGGGCTTAGTTGAAATGCCTGAGCGACGATACCATACACAGTTCTGGCAAAAGGACGCTTTTAAGAAGGATCAAATTGTAGGCTTAACGTTCGTCTATGGGGATTGGCCATCGTATCGCGGTTGAATTCACGAATTTTTCTGTGCATAGAATTTGATCTAAATGGGGCGATTGTCGCAAAGACCAGGTTTCTCTAGACGTACTACTACAGAACGCACAGATCGACGCATACGAAGAAACGATGGCGGCTCCATAGTTGTGGATATATTGCTGAATACACAGGGAGCTTTATATTCTCTAATATCTGGGAGAACATTTTCCCGTCGTTTGGCTGAAAGCAGCTTGCACACAAACCGCTGTTTTCGAAGATTTCTATTAACACCAAAGCATCGACATGAAAGACTGCTATGGTGTCGTCAGCGAGCCACATGGACATGCGAATGGCACAATGTGGTATTCAGCGACGAATTTTGGTTTTGTCTGCCTGATGAGAGTCACCGGTCGTCAAGTCTGAAGGCATCGCGAAGATAGAACCAATCCTACTACTATTGAGGAACGCCACACCGGCTCGTGATACGTTGATGAAAGGCTGAAGTCTGTTGTAAAAATGGTATTTTCAGTAGAACAATACAACACCGCACCCGGTAGTCGACAAACCTTGCAGCATGTCCCATTGCTTCCTCGGCCTGCGATATCCCCTGATCTGTTCCCGATCGAGCATATCCGGGACATCATTTGTCGCCATTTGTCTGCTCTGCCCCAGCCTCTATCGGAGGATGAACTTTGGAGGAGTGTTCAAAGCGTATGGTGTTCCATTCCTTAAGGACACAATCCACACTTTAATTGAATCTGTATCTCTAATAGTTGCAGCTTGCATTGGCGCGAGAGATGGTTATACATCTTACTGATTCCGTGTATATCTCAGCACTGTACAAATTTCTCTTTCTGTGAATAACATCACTCATTTACATATTCATGTCCTGTCTATGTGTCAACTGATATCACATTCTACCCAATCTTTCACGGTGTTCCATTATCTATGTCGGGCGGTATATCAACCATATTGTGTTAAATGCAGATTTCCACAATTTTACTTTTTGAACCTTTTCTTTCACTTCATAATGTTTATTTTTGATATTTATAAACTTTCTTAGGGTTTATTAATAAAGTATTCCTGGAACATGTATTTCTTTCTGTATGTGCTACATGCTTGCCTTTGCTACATTTGAGAAGGAATAACCTGTAAAATGAAGGCTTGTTCGACAATGTATTAATTTTTATGGTTAAGTTTCGACCAACTAAATTCTAGTAAATTTGGTTGAAATTGCTATTTTTAATTACAAGCCAAATTTTTTGTTGAAATCGTATTTATCTATAAGAGAAAAACTTGTATTTCGTGTATCGTTGGTACGGGTAAGGAAATCAAACAATTAATCATCTTAACACGGAATTCTAAACATTTTAAGCAGATATTGCATGCTGCATATTTAACTCAATTTCAAACATATCTTTTTCTTCGAAGCTGGAGAGATTTTTCTCCTTTACCTAGGAAATACATGATAATGCAAATTAGGTTGGCAACTGCAGCGAGAAAATAAATAATAAGTTCATAAACTGCTTTACCTTATAGAGGATATTAACCTCCTTCCCCCTGCACCTTGAGATAGAAACGTGAAAAATCAAAATGAGGTTGATAACTGCAGCGAGAAAATAAATAATAAGTTTGTAAACTGCTTACTTATAGAGATAAACTCCTTCTCCCTGCGCCCGAAGCTAGACATGTGAAAACTCAAATTCGCCTTCGCTGGAATTCGACATCCAGATATTCCATTTGTTAGCCGAATGTATTTGTTACGTTTTTATTTTTCTGACACCAGTTGTTACGTTATTTTCTTCCTTCACGTTCGTACGGGGTTCGTGTGAATGTGGAGTGAATAACGACGACACTTGATGAAACATCGAAACATGCTTTATTTAGCCAATGTTAATCAGGACAGCTTTAATAGTACTTTTTACAGTCATCGAAGATCTACTATAAACACGCTGGAACACTCAGCGGCACAGGCTTCACACTGTCAGGCAATAACTGTGGAGACAGCTTCCTACAAAGCACCAGAGTACAGCTCCCGATTCTGCTTGGTCGTTCTCAGAATTCCACTTACTCTCGAGACTCTCCACGCTAAAACTACGACACACGAGCACAGCTCCCGACTCTTCGGTTCAGTCGTTCCCGGAGCTCAACACGCTCTCTCGACGATGGACTAACCGCATTACACTAACAGACTCCTTCGGTGCACTCGACGACCCACTCGGCACTCGCTGCCGGGCTGTCAATTCGATCGACTCCGCACGGACTGACTCGCTAGATCAGACACACACACTAACTGACTGCGGAACAGCAGGGTTTATCCAGCTTTCGGCTTGTGTTCGAGAACAT